CCACCCACCTGGGACACTGTGATGCTGCACTTCTTAGCCAGCTCCTCTTTAGCCTCCTCGCTGGGGTACGGGTTGCTGAGGTGCGAGTAGAAATACTCGTTGAGGATTTCTGTTGCCTGTTTGCTGAAGTTTCTACGTTTCCTCCTGGGAAGAAGGACGAGAGAGAGAGAGAGAGACACAGAGACAGAGAGAGAGAGAGGAGGCCGGGCAGGGCTGTCAGTGGGGGCAGTTGTTTGGATCACAACACTGTGACACACAGTCGACCTCACACACACACCAATAATGAGGACTGGGCTTCAAGGGCCCCCCAGGAGCCAAACCTCAGAAACACACACACACACACACACACACACTGATATATCCCCTGACCCCTGACACTGACCATCACAAATAAATGACTAATTTAACCTTTAGACTCTACCTGACTCTAATCTGGTCCTGATTATAATCTGGGCCTAACTCTTTTTGCAAATTAAATCTGGTCCTAACTCTAATCTGATCCTGACTATAATCTGGTCCTGACTCTAATCTGGTCCTGACTCTAATCTGGTCCTCACTCAGTGGGACCTGAAAAATGTCCCCACAGGGAACAGTGTCCCCGCCACTAAGGTGTGTACTCGATTTAATGTCCCCACAAGTATAGAAACACCAGGACCACACACACACATTGTTAGATTCTAAGTGTGTATTGTGTTAAGTTCAGCGCAGTGGCTGAGTGGACAGGGGATTGAGTGGAGTGTACCCCAGTGGAATACAGTGGAACAGCGTCTGCGTCAGCGTCAGGGTCAGTGTCAGGGTTAGCGTCAGTGTCTGTGTCAGTGTTTGTGGAACAGTCCCACAGTGGAACAGTCCCACAGTGGAACAGTCCCACAGTGGAACAGTCCCACAGTGGAACAGTCACACAGTGGAACAGCGTCTGCGTCAGTGTCAGTGTCAGTGTCAGCGTCTGTGTCTGTGTCAGTGTCTGTGTCAGTGTCAGCGTCAGTGTCAGCGTCAGTGTCAGTGTCAGTGTCAGCGTCAGTGTCAGTGTCTGTGCTGCCTCCCTCTGCCTGTTTGGCCTGTTGTAGCTCTGTGTTAGTGATTACAGTCATCAGCGCCACCTGCTGGTGTTGAGGAAGGATAATGTGTGGAACATGGACTTCATTAAATCCATTCATCTGTGCTCGACTGGTTTGGCTGCTGTTCCAGAAACAACAACGACAACAACAACAACAACAACAACGACAACAACACCGACAACAACAACTAGAAATGATGTGGCCCACTGGACTGGTTGATAAACAGACACAGACACAGACACAGCCACACAGACACAGACACAGGTGCGGCGGGTGACTGTAGGCCACAGACTGGAGGCCACAGACTGGGACCACAGACTGGGAGCACAGACCTGGCGTCGAGGAACCTGGAGCGCAGGATCATGACGGCCTCACAGGTGCTCTGCTTCAGCTGCATCTGGATGGAGCTGAACTTACGGTGGATGATCCCCACCATGCGCTCGATCTCTTTGGGGGAGATGGGCCGCGTACGGGACTGTTCCCTCAGCAGGTTCATCACGTGAGTGGTGAATTCATTACACGCCTGACACCAGGAGACAGAGGAGACAGAGGAGGAGACAGAGGAGACAGAGGAGACAGAGGAGACAGAGGAGACAGAGGAGACAGAGAAGGAGGAGAGGAGAGAACTGAGTGAGGGACTGTGGAGGAACAACATTAGCTCGTTAACAGTTATGAACCCTCTTGGTCGCTGATGACACTGGAGCTGAAGTGCATCAGTGAACATGTCATGTGATGCTGCTGCTGCTGCTACAGTGATGCTGCTGTTGTTACTGCTGCTGCTGCTGCTGTTACTGCTGCTGCTGCTGTTACTGCTGCTGCTGTTACTGCTGCTGCTGCCGGAGCACAGCTGCTAAATATAGATGGGACAGTCTGTCAGAACACAAACACTTGAAACACAAGTCCAAAGTAGAAGTTTGAAAAAAAAAAACCTGATATAATTTGTTTTTATTAACGCAGATGAACCCGTGTTTGTCAGACGAGGGATGAAAGAAAATAGTTCAGTGACCAACATAATATATGCAGAGTATAAGCAAAAAAATTATAAATATGACAACGGATTTGACTTCAGTCATTTGTTTGATTTTCCAACAGTTCACGTGTTTTTAGAACTTTATTAAATTCTCTGTCTTTTGTTGTTTTTTATTTTCCTTTTCTAACAAACTTCCTGACTTCCTCACCTTCAGCAGG